AAGTTTTGAAACCTCAAAATCCACCTCTGGAATCACTTCCGGAGACATACTTCCTTTAGCAAGGCCACACCTTCCAGTCTACCTAAACAGCACCATCCACAGGGGACCAAGTATTCAAATGCCTGAGACCATGGGTGACATTTTATTGAAGTTACCATAAATCCCATAGAGGAAAAAAAATCAGTTTCAAGTCCATGTATACCTCCCAGTCTTAGACCACAAACAGTTTGCAAGAAGGGAAAGTTGGGGTTGAGACTATGGCCCAATTGATAGAGGGTTTGCCTATCATTCTCAAAATCTTGAGTTGGATTCCTACCACCTCATGAACCACACATGACTGCACACTGCTGTAATTTTAGTTCTTGGAAGGTGGAGAGTGGAGGATCAGAAGGTGAAGGTCATCTGCTACATAATAAGTTTGAGGCCAGCACAGGATAGTACATGTGACCCAGTATTGCAAAAGAAAAAAAAAAAGACTTGTGGAGACAGCATAGTTGATAAAATGTTCCCTTTGCAACCCAGGTGCCCTGAGATAGATCTCCCAGAAGTAACATAAAAAAGCTAGTCGCAGTGGCCTGGGCTTGCAATTCTAATACTGGGGAGGCAGAGGCAGGAACATCCCTGGAGCTTCATGGCCAGTCTACTTCTTGGTGAGTTACAAGCTTTTGAGAGAGCCCTTTTCCAAAAACAGGTTGGTGAGCAGTTGAGGAAAGACATCTGGCATCTTTACATGCAAACAAATGTGTACATTAATATAAGCACAAGTGTGCATCCATACAAGCACATGTGTACATCAATACAAGCACTTGTGTACATCCATACATTTACACAGTGGGGGGCGAAGAGGGGCATGAGTGGAGGGAGAATACTAGCCCTCCATCCGGGAACAAAGAAAAGAAACAATGTAATCTCCTCAAACGGTGACAGAATTTAGGAAGATACAACATGTCGGGCAACTGCCTTTGTTTACTTTCAGCTGATAGTCAGCCCTCTCCAGCCATAGTGTGTTTCTATTTTAGGGCTATACAGATTGAGGTCATGTATTTTTCCTTGTGATCAGGAACCCAAAGGGAAAAAGGGTATTTACTGAGCTATGGCACAATTAAGATTTTACATTGTCACGTCTCTGGTTTGTTGTGTTTTGTCAAAGATGTGTCTGATGTCTATTGTTCTTATTGTTTTCAGCCGTCCTTGATTTTAACTCAGCTTTCAAAGAAGAACTATCTCAGCAGGTGATTATTATCCTTTCCCCCTTAAATCCTTTCAACTATAATTTAAAAAGATGTCCAAAGAAATTATTATTTTGACATTTATTTGTAGCATATTTGTGACCTTACTGCAAAAGGGCACCTGTGTTACCTATGCTGTTTATCTTGCTACTTGTGCCCAAAAGATAGGAAGTAGGCTCAGCTTTGCAAAATCTTTCACCTACTATAAGTTCATTGTTAAAGAAAAATGCATAGTAAAATGAATACACTTATAAAAAAGCAGTCTCAACTAATACATGATGTATACTGGGTAGTTTTATGTCCACTTGAGACAAGTTAGAGTTATCTGAGAGGCAGGAGCCTCAACTAATAAAATAGCTCTATTAAGACTGGCTTGTACAAAAGTCCGAAGTCATATTCCTAAGTAGTGATCGATGGAGGAAGACCCAGCCCATTGTGGGTCCTGTCATCCCTGGGCTTGTGATCCTGGGTTCTAGAAGAAATTAGGCTGAGTAAGTCATATGGAGCAAGCCAGTGAGCAGCACCCCTCCATGGCTTTTGCTTCTGCTTTCAGGTTCCTGTCCTGCTTGAGTTCCTGTGCTGACGTCCTTCCATACTAAACAGTGCTGTGGAAGTATAAGTCAAATAGTCCGTTTCCTCCTCAAGTTACTTTGATCATGGTGTTTTATTACAGCATAGAAACTTTAACTAAGACACCATGCTTGCTTAAACTTTTAAAATGGTTGAGAAGGAAGTAGAGTGACTCAAGAGGTCAAGTGGAGGAAAAGGTCAACACTAGCTCCATGGGCCCAATCCCCAGTTTCTTGTTTATCTTTGGGAAGTAAAACAATTACCATCTCATTATTAAATAACAGCATGGTTAATTCCATTCTGTTTTGCTAAACAGACATGTTATCAATATGCCTTCTGAATATTTATATCTGTCCTCGTAGACTAGCACTACCTCCACACTGGCTGGATGAACATTTCTCTGCAGTGGGCAGCAGTTAAAGAAGAGACTTCTAACTGGTCACAGTGCTGAGAGTGAGTGAAGGGTGCTCAGCTCTAAATGAGACATTTCTATCACCTCCACCCAAGGCTCAGGGAGCACTGCCAAGTGTGGGGAAGTGGAGGGCAAGGAAGACAGGGAGGACAGGGAGGGCAGGGAGAAATAGGAAGGACAGAGAGGACAGGGAGGACAGGGAGGACAGAGAGGACAGGGAGGATATGGAGGGCAGGGAGGACCAGGAGGGCAGGGAGGTCAGGGAGGACAGGGAGAAATAGGAAGGACAGGGAGGACATGGAGGATAGGGAAGATAGGGAGGACAGGGAGGAGAACTATGAAATACTGTCATTTGGACACGGCCTGACTATTGCATCCACAAAGTCACTGCAGCTAGGGGTTCTGGCACAAGGTCTAAGCAGGGCCAAGCCAACAAGATAGCTCAATATTCCAGCACAAATCAGGCTTAGTCAATCATAGAGAAAGAAGAAAAGGAGAGCTATGAAGGCAGAAAAATGAAATGTTGGGTGAGAGTTGAGGGTGACTGAGGGAAACTGGTCATGGCTATCACCAAGATACATCATATAATGTATGAAACTGTCAAAAAATTAAATAGAAGATATTAAAAAATCAATAACTCAGAATCTGTTCTAAAAGTTCCCTTGTGAGACATGGCGCTGTGTTCATAGGGGCCTTTGTCTGTCCCCACAGACCTCTCATGGAAACCTGGATGGCCCTAACCAATTTAGAGCCACTACCTTGTTTTTTGACAAGTGTATTCGGAGCCCCTTTCCTGACTGGCATGGTGACACTGACTTGTCTGGGACACCTTCATCTCTCACTCCTAGAACTTTTAAAACTACACAATAGGAAGTGATTTACAGTGAGGAGACATGAGATTACTACCTTGACAGTAAGGCTTCCAGGAAGGCCTTTATGTATTCAAACACTTCACACCACAGTTAACAGTACACACACTGCCACAATAAGTAATAAAACTCACTTAAATGTTCAGTAGCAGAGCCTCTTAAAAGAACCAGACCCGTTTTTGCCATTGGCATGAGCCAGAAAGCCATCTCTTAAAGGAGTTGTGCCTCTGCTTGCCCCCACAGACAGAGCCTATCCGAGAAAAGGTGGTTACCAAGAAGCCAAGTTTGACTCTGATTTTGTGTGTTTGGAACCTCCCCACCCCTTTTAAGAGACTTTATCAGGTTTTATGTGTCTCTAAGTTGGCAGACATTTGGGTGCTATTTGTAGGTAGGTTTTTTTGGGGGGGAGGGAGACTATGGTCAGCTCTATTTCTGCCAACAACTTACTAATAAACACTCAGAGACATCACTAATTATTGACACTTGACCCAAAAGCTTAGGCTTGTTACTAGCTAACTCTTACATTTTAAATTAATTCATATTTCTTATCTACACTGTGCCACATGGTTCGGTACCTTTTCTCAGTGTGGCAGGCCCATCTTGCTTCTCTCTGTGTATGCTCATGACTCCCAGACTCCACCCTTCTTCTTCCCAAAGTTCTCTGTTTGCCTCTCCCACCTAATCTCTACCTGCCCAGTAATTGACCAGTAAGTTTCTCTATTAAACCAATCACAGTGGTATATTCAAACAGTGTAAAGGAATATTCAACATCCCATGCCATTGCCAGCAGGAGGCTGTCAGGCACAAGAAAGGGCCCTCACTTGTACACATATCTGCACCTCCAATGCCATAGCCAGCTGGGCACTATTCCACCACAAGTGATGGTTCAAGCCAACCACTTCGCCTGTTCTCTGTGCTCCCCTATGCCAAGAAAGGCTCCACTGTGACTCCTGGAACTGTCCCAGCACCAACATCTTCATGCCAGCCTGCCCCCTCAGGAAATGCCCTGCTAACAGCCAGAGGAAGGCTCCTTTGTGGGAGAATCTGGGCCTTTCCTATATCACCCAAACAAGCAACTCAAAACTCATTTCCTTGGCTGTGCTTTCTTTCCCAGAGGAAAGAACATCACCAGCATCATCCCTGAGAATTGGCAGGAGTGACGGCACTAAGCCTGGATAAAGATATGGTCTGATCTTGAACTTCTGTAGCATTGCTGAAACAATTTTTGCTATGTCTATAGAGCTATTTAGAAAACTCAGGTGATAGTGGTACCATGACCTTTCCTTGAGGCTGTTGAAGCCTATGCACATACTAATGCTACAGCAGCTTTCACAACAGTAGAAAAAAGATGGGGTGATTTGATTCTTACCTGAGACAGTTTTATGCCTCTGACTTTTCACTCTTCTGTGCCAACTTGCTTCTGGCTCCTCTGCCTGTTGGTTCCTCAGGGAGTACTTCCATCACCTGCTACAGCATGTGTTTGTGACACAAGCTGGGACTTATGATGCACTTGTGTCTTTGTGGCAAAGAAGCCAAGAGAGGTTCCAGAATTATGTGACTTTCTTCTGAATCTTGGCTCTGCATTTGTCTTATTTTGTGTCATTGGACAGTTACTTTTCTCTGTCTTACTTTCACACTTGATAAAATTAAAAAAAAAATCCCCCAAAACAAATAATCAAAAATACCCTAACAAAAAATAAATATCATGGTTATAAAGATTCACATAGATCCAGGCAATTGTCTAATTCAATAAAAACTCCTTGTACCAAAGTGAATTTTGAGCTTCTTAGGAGTAGGCTTTGAGGTTGTTTTGCCCATGTTTCTGCAGGCCTTAAAGTCCACTAATTGTTTAATGATTAATTAAATGCTGGCCAAGATAAATGTCTGATTCCCTGAAGTTCCAGAAGTTAGAGAATCAAATCTGCTGTGTGACTCTCAAGAGAAGCTGTCCAGAGCTGTATGTAGAGTGATATGTCACAAGAGTTCACCATGAAGACTCCACCTTGTGAAACTGCAGATATACATGGAAGGAGAGAGCCTAAATTAAGATGACTGAAAAAGGAGCTCTGCTAACTAGCAGCCACACAGGGAAGTGTTTTCCTGGGTCAGCAGACAAAGGTCAGTGATGGAGCTGTGGTCTACGGGCAACAGGCTCCATCCCAAGCTGTCGGTAGAACTTGGCAACCTTGTTTCCTTAGTACTGATTCTGCAGGTATGAAAGAAACAAAATTGAGGGGGCCCACTGATCTTGCACCACCCTTCTGGATGGATACTGAGGTCAGGCAATTGTGTGGCATGATTGGAATCTCTGCAAGGAGCTAAAGCCTAAGGTGCAAATCTCAGAATGTATGAGATGTCAGAATTATGGGATGCCCATTGAGGAAAACTCTAGGCAAAGAGAGAGGCTGTGTGTGTGTTGCAGGTAGCAGAGCTTGGGAAGTTAGACTACACATATCCTTTGAAGCCCATATGATTCTGTCACAAGCCCTAGATACCACACTTGGAGCTACAGGATTTGGTGTTTTCCCTACTGGGTTCTTTTATACCTTGCTTTGTTTTGATTTTTCCTTGCTCTCTCCAATTCTTACACTTTGGAATGGGCATGTTGATTCTGTGCCAGGATATGCTGAAACATTTTAACTCAGGTTTTACTTTATAGGCTCAAACAGTTAAAAGTTTATGTTGAGTGTCAGAGGAAACTTCTAAACACTATTGAAACTCTTCAAGAGTACAGGGACTTTTGAAGTTGGACTGAACACATTTTGCAATATGAGATGGCCATGAGCTTGTGGTGGCAAGAGGTAGAGGTGTTTAGGAGTGTTAAGTTGACAAAGTGTGGACTTACAGAATTTAATACTGATTGTCCACTTGACAGAATCTAGAATCACTTATAATACAAACTCTTGGACACGTCTGTGAGGAATTTTCTAGTTTGGATTAGTTGAGGTGGGAAGATTCTTCTTAAATGTGGGCAGCGCCATCCCATGGGAGGGGGCTCATACTGCATGAAGAGTGGAACACAAGCTGAGCACCAGCATCCATTACTCTATGCTTCCCGACCATAAACACAGCGTGACCCTGCCCTATGCTCTGGCTGAGGTAACTTTTTGGCCATGATGGACTGGACCTCAAGCTCTGAGCCAAGCAAACCCTTTCTCTCTCAAGTTGCTTTTGTCAGGATTCTGTGCAGCAAGAGAGTTAACACAGGCTGAAAACATACTTAGTATTAGCGTTGGCTTTACACTGTCTTGTTTAGATTGGGGGTATAACTCAGTAGAACACTTGCACAAGAGACACAAGAGAAGCCCTGAGTTTAGTCACTAGTACTGGGGGTGAGAAGTAACCAAAAGGGGGGCATTTTACTCCTTTATTTTTCTCATGAATGCCTCTTTTGTATCTGTAAAGATAACTCTTGTTGTGTTCCCCTGCAAATCTTTCTTGTCACCTCCTAGAGGCCGACTGATAT